CCCGCCTATTGTCCCGTTATGTATACCAGTCCAATTGATTTCAACTTCTCGATTCGAAGAAATTCCACGATTCTCCAACACTTTTCCTCTCGCTGATCGATCGATTCCAAATATACATATTTATCAGAACACAGAGAGATAACGTAACTTCTTATACTTTCCTGAAAAAGAGCTTCCTTATCGAACGACACATGCGTCACCCTGCGTAACGACAATTCGAGAGAGAAAACAATCAATCTTCGAAATTCTTCGCTAAAAACAAACCGATCTCGCCGTTATTCCGTCTTTGCGTCATGATTGATCGTCGATTCTTCAAGAACTAACAACGAACGAAGACAGATCGATTTTCTATCCGAAAGAGAAAGTGACTGTTTTTAAATACCTTCCTTGATAAAAGGGAACGATCGTATAAAATATCGTGTGCATTTTCTGTCTTCTAAAATTCTCATTTGAAAAGAAAAAAAATGAAAAGTGAACTTTGTTTCTAAAAAAAAAAATCCAATTTCTCACATACTAAGCGTTAATCGAAAGAGAAGAGGAATCGTGAAAAATCGCTGAATTTTGGTAGAATGCCATAGGAAAGTGTATTTATTGGTAAAAAAAAATGTTTAAAAGAGATACAACGACACACGATTTCGATAAAAAAAATACGAATGCGATAAAAAGACACGAGTTTCTTCGTTGATTTATTTATTTTTTTTTTTGGCCTAGCTTCAACAATCTTTCTTTTTGCACGAACGAACGTACATCGTAATCCTGTCACCTACGTTAAAAGAAAAGACCAACCGGTATCTGGATCGAGGAATCGATAGATTAGAGAGGATGATCGATGGGCAGAGGACCCAGTTTAAAGCTTACGAGACGGAGCGAGAGGCAGAATGATCGAATCGTGAGATGCTTGCAGCCAGACTCGCATCTCAAGTTTCGAGGATCGTAATAATTTGAACGAAGTAGCCGGGAAACTTTAGGAACAAGTTGGGAATTGAATTACCCTTCTTCTTCGTTGAAAGGTGAGCAATTGATCGAGATCGAAGACTCTGAAAATTTGAGAGCTCTATAATAATCGAACTTCTGGCAAGAATTTCGTTCCTTTTTTCAACAAGGTCTAAAAATTCGAGGTTTCGACAGGTATGCAAACTCGAGTGGGAACACGCTAGATTATTAGAGAATCGAGGATTTCTATAATTCTACCGAGCAGAAAGATGATCTATATCGACTACGAATTTAATATCGATCCAAAGTCGGCACAGTTCCGACTCGAGTCGTCCTAATACTCCGGCGAACTTACACAGGTAGAATCTTAATACGTAAAAAGAAAAGGATTAATCTTGATCACAAACTATCCAACTCCGTTCGTTTCCCTTCGATTACAACGCTAAAGTAACTTAACCCCAAAAAATCTCCAACGATAAACTCTATAATCACATCACCATCACGAGCCCTCTTCGTTTCTCACCTAAACACACCCCTAACGAAACAAGGGACCAAAGTTTCGAACCAACCTCAACTCTTTGCACTCGACTGAACTTCTTAAAAAAAAACAATCAGGTCGTTAGTATCACAAAACGCAGAATATCTTCACGAGAGAAACATTGCACTGATCCACGAAAGCCTCGTTCGAGTGTGCAAAGAGTATCAACGAAACGAAACGAGCAAACGCGGTCGAAAAATGAAACTCAGCGGCGCGTATCACTGACAGACGGTATATAATCGAGAGTGTAAGAGGATCGACGACGAGGATCATGGCGGTTGAAGAAAAAAAAAAAAAACAAAATCTAGGTGGTGGTTGGTTATCACGGATCGACGGAGGGAACAACCCGGGTGCAACGCGACGCTTAGTCCGCCTGGCTCTCCTTAGCATTAACACGCGATATATCAGAAAAACCAGTTTGCGGGCTTTTTATTAGGCCTTTACTTTCGCTTAGCAAACTGAAAGGAAGAGTGAGCGAGCGAACGAGAGGCCTGGCTGGGTTGGTTGGTAGACCGGCGAAAGAGCGAGCGAGCGAGCAAAGTGACTGACTGACTGACTGTGAGTTAACTAACGGGGTCACCAGTCGATACGGACACGCACGTTCAAGAGAGACGCTAGTCGCCTATACATCTTTCTCTTTTTCTCCCCTTCCACTGTGTACACATGTAGCTATATTGTAGTATTGTATCGTGTGTGTACATATATATACACACACAACCTATGAGCACGAGAAGGATAGATAGATAGACAAGCAGATTCAGTAGAACTCTCTGTGCGTGTATAGGACAGTACACACACGTGTATGCATGCCGATATATATATGTATACACAAGCAGCAGCGACTCGCGACGCGACGAAGATTGCAGATTCGTCGTTAGACGTGAAAAATACGCGTCTCTCTCCTCTCTTTCTCTGTTCGATGGAAAACGTTAACGGGGCACGCGTGTACCTTGAAGCGGTGCTACGCCGTCTTACACACTCCGCGGCGGTGTTAAATAATTACGGTATCTAATAAAGAAAGTTATGCAAGCCGCCGCCACGTGACGCTAGGGTCGCCGCAAGGATCACTCGATCGCACGTGTGTGTATGTATGCAATTAAGTGTAAGTTTACGAGTGTTGCTTTGTGTAGTTGTGTCTCACGCGTGCACGTTTCTCAACGAAGGGTTTCTGCCGTCCAGTTTCCTCATGGGACACACCAGAAACGCGTTCTTCTTCTGGTTCTAAGATTAGCTTTCGTGACTTTTTTCTTTCCTGCCCGTGGTGTATAACGTCGAATGTGAGAGAAAAGATCGTCTCCCTTTCGGTATTTTGTTGGGTCTCTACCTGAGTCTCTCTATGTTCACGCGTGAATGTGTGTGTTTGTTTATTTACGCGGCGTGACAGCGCTGGTTCTCGGACAAAAAATCGAAACGAATGGAAACGTCTCTCTCCTCACCTCTTTCTAACCTCTCTCTCCTCTTGCTATGCTTACTATCTTTCTCACACTCTCTCATACTCACTCACTCTCTCCCTCTCTCTCTCTCTCTCTCCGCGTACAAACTGTCGTCTGGTTGTCGCACCGATCGCGCCGCTCATCCTCGATTTTGTTTTCTTCAATCTTATATATCACGTTACAATAGTATCTAAATGAAATGTGTTCACAGCCACACATTAATATTTATACATAGATTTTATACATGTATTTATATATTTATAATTATTCTTGTTGCAAACGCCACTCCCCCGTTAATGTTTCCTCACTCATTCTCTACCTTTCCCTTTCTCGCGTCTGTCCGCTCGTTTCGTTTGAATCTACTCGTTTTTTGTTGCTGTTTCTTTCTTTTCATGAATATGTAATGTATATACGGCGTGTGTATGTGTGCTTGCATGTGTTACCACTACCTTCCTTGTATTTTAGTACACGTTCTCGAAACATCGTAATTTTTTTTTGTATTTTTTCGTTTTTTTTTATTTACTTCACTTTTCTCCGTCCGGGAAGAGAAAGAAGAAAGAGGGGCGACCGTGGAACGTTCGACGGACGCTCTCCATCCGCACACCATCAGTCGTTTTCACTCGCTCTTTTTATTTCTCTCGTCCTCCATCCAACCTCCACACGCCCTCTGTCCTTTCTTCGTTCTTTCCGAAATCTCCAACTATTCCTCGCTTATTTCCGTCCTCTCGCTCTCCCTCTGTTCCGTTTCTCATTCTCGTCGTGGTTTCTCCGCTGAGCGACCTCCTCACTGCTTGCCGCTTTCGTTCGGAATGACTTGGTGAACCGACGCCACCGTTCCCCCGGCTACTCTGAGAAGCGTGCGTGTGCTCACCTCTATTCATCTCTCTCTCTTTCGACGCGCGCACAGTCTGTGTCTCTCTCGCGCCACCGCGGTAATCGTATGCGTCCGTCTCTCTCTCTCTCTCGTTCTCTATCGACGCGCGCGCACCGCGCAAGCAGAGCAGTTTAAAAAAAAACAAAAAAAAAACAAAAAACGCATACGATCGAGTCTCGTATCCGTTTGTCCATCCCGCGCGCGTGCGCGCACGCGGTTCCGTTATATATATATACTTTTTTTTTTTTTTTAATTTTATCCCCCATCCGTTCGAAATTTTTCGTTAGGCACAACACATTTTTCTTACAATTTTATTCTTTTTCTTACTCGTTTTGTTTCATTTTTTTTTTCTTTTGTTTCTTTTTTCTTTTCTTTTCGTTTTAACGTTTTGCTTCGTTTTGGAGTCTTGTAGTCTCTCGGTTGATCCCCTACGACCGTGTTATACAGCAAGTACCATCGTGTTAATTACTTTTTTTTTGTTTTCGTTTGTTTGTTTTTTGGTCCTACCCCCCGCGACAACTGATCGTCCACCGCAGATGGATAACGTGTGTTTATACGTGTGTTCTCCGGGAGACGTAAGAAAGACGAACGGACGGAAACTTCACAGTAATTACAATATTAACCAATGTCCCCGTCCTTCTCTTATATTTCTTCTTCCTCCTCCTCCTCCTCCTCCTCCTCCTACATCTCTCAAACCCTTCCAACTCTCCCGGGTCTTGTTCAGTCTTCCTTCAACCTGTTTCAAACACTGTCACCGACCCCCGCGCGCTCCAACGATAATAATCACCGTTTCTCTCCGCGATCATCCCGGTCTCCTCCACCAACTCTCCGAGAGAGGTTTTTTCCCTTCCTTTTACACCCAGCCCCCCTCTCTCGTTTCATTCCGACGAGCGTTTAACACGTTCCTCGTCTACGTCACACGCTGGATCGGCCCGGTGGTAGTAGGCGTTGGGCGCGTGTCCATGCGTCAACTGAGGAGCAACAAGCAGTGCTCGTTTGGCCCGCAACCGTGAAGGATCGACGACGATCGGCGACGGTTGTTCACCTTCGTAGTCTCGAGAAGACGACAAGGACCAAGCCGGTCCTGATCGTTCCGTCTGTAGCCTGGTCGTGATTCTTCCTGTTCGCGACCATCGGCAAGAGTCGCGTCGACTGTATTGCGATCGGTATCGTCGGTGAGAATCGCGGCGGCGGCGGCAGCTGCGTTGGTTTGATCGTTGGCTAGTGGCGACGATGGCGTTGTCTTCGATGTCGCATCACGACGAGCATGCCATCCACGAGTTACAGGTGCACGTGTAGCACGCGGTGGGTATCACTGGAGCGTAATAATAACCGTTCGCGTAAACGTACGTAGCGGGTGGTCCAGGCGGTGCCTGCTGATGATTCGTAAGCCGTTGCTGTTGCTCCTGGCAGAATACCTGGTAGGCGAGGTTCTCGATCAACGCGAGGGTTTGTCGTCGTTCGTGGCCCATCAGGCACACGGTAGACTCCTCCACTACGCTGTGGAGCAGCATCAGGTACTGGTACTTGAGGGCCTCCTCTTCAGGCCCGACGAAGTGATTCCACAGGTAGTTCTCGAGTTTGGCCCGTTGCTGGCTGATATCCGGGAAGTCGATGAAGAATCTCGAGCACATGTATCGCTCGAGGGTCTTTATGTAGTCAGGCTGAGAGGGTTTGTACATCTTCACGAGGAGATTGCAGTACTTGAGCAGACCGCCGCCGCGTATCTCTTCCGGATGCCTCGTCGAGATTAGCTTCTTGTGAAGATGATACAACGCCTCTTGGAAGTCACCGTACACGGATTCACCTACCACCGTAGGATAAAAATTCTCGCCGATCGGCAATTTGCTGCACTCGTAGAACAACAGCAACGAGTCAAGGACGATCTGAAAGGAGTCCACGGAGAACTCGAATTGCCGCCTCATCGAATCGACGAACTTCAACTCGACGTTCCTGTGCCCACGTGAATTACCAAGGGATATCAGTGACCACCTGTCCCCGTCGTTGTTCACTTTCACCATCTTGCTCACGTACGCCTCTTTCAAGCTGCACGTAGTGATACGTTTACGGCTGACACCTTCGGGCAACAGGTCGAACAGAGAGCCGAGTACCGCGGCCTTCACCTTGTCGTAATTTCGCCCGCTCGACAATTCCACGGCGAAGATCAAGTCCAGGTCGTTGTACGGTTGCGACTCGGTCGCGAGAACGTGCGATGCGGCACCGCCGTTCAACCTGATGTCGCGCACCCTCATACCGGCGCCTCCGTTGCTCGGATCGGTCTCCAGTTTGCTACGAACCACGGTCACCAGGTCGCGTAATCGAACCTCCAGGGTGGGAAAGTTTCCACGGCCGTGAATAGACACCACCTCGTTCATCACGTCGTTCAATCGTCGAACTTGCTCGAAACTAAGTACGGCCAACCTTTGCTGCGGATCTGGACATTCTGGATTGTTGTTGTTGTTGTTGCTGCTGCTGCTGCTGTTGTTGTTGTTGTTGTTGGTGCTGTTGGTGTTTGTGTTATTCTCGTTGCCTCCTTTGCCGCCGTTGCTCTTGGTGCCGTTCACCTGGCACAGGGACTCCATCATAGCGACCCGACGCTGGCGTTCCTCGCCGATCTCCAGGGAGCCACACTGTAATGGAAACGAAACAGGGGATGTTATTAACCGTGCCATTTCCGCCTTCGGTAAATCGTGTTAAGAGTACGCTATGCTTTCGCCACGTTAGAGTTTCTTAAAGGGTGGCCAGAGAAGTAACGTGCTCGGTAGCTGATGGAAATAATAACGGGGAATTGGAAGAGTGTGTTTCACGGGAGATAGTAGTTTTCCAGCGAGGAAATTGAAACGCTATTTTTTTTTCTCTTATCTAGTTTCATTTTTATAATAAACAATCCAAGAATAGTTGGAGAACAGATCGAACAAAGAAAGTCGAGGATAGTGTTTATCGTTTATTAACGTTATCTACGATGTTATTAATAGTACTTTTTTCGTTATCGTATCATTTTCAACGTTATCGTTATTGTTTCTGGAATCGAAATTTACACTGTTATCGTTCTCGTTTAATTTGCTTGTTATGTCCTATTTTTTCTCTCGTTTGTTCGTGTTTGTTAGATAAATAAATATTGCAAATTTCGAGTGGAAGGAATAACAAGATTAATCGTTGGAAACGTGCGACAAACTATCGTGCCGGCGATCTGTTTAATCTGATAGACGACTCTGCTGATTGGTGACTATCAATGAAAACCGTGAACGGGGTAACAGAGCGACAAATTAATCCAATCGTGTCCTACACAAATGAGCAGCTACGATAGCGAGGGAAACACAAACTCGGTACGAATTTATCGAAAGCGGTTTAGGATCGACACAAGTTTCACGTGTTAACCGTCACTATGAAACGCGCAACCCCTTCGGCGATGTGTGTCTATTTGCCGTGGATGTACCACGTTTAGAAATGCCACGAGGTTACATCCGGGTAGTGTGTACACGATCTATTCGAACTTTCCTGTTCCTTCAAGAGAATCAAGTTGTAGCAAGTTTTTCGAAAGGTCTTCCCCGGGTATTCTGTCGAAGAATACGTTCTTACTGGATAATTTAACTTGAGCGGGAACTTTTTATTTTATCGAAGAAACGAGCACAAGTTCTTTCGATATTTAGAGATTTTGTAAATTAAATTAAAATTCTGAAAGAGTTGAGCCAATTTCTTTGATATTTCGAAAATTTCGATACAGATGTTCTAAATTTTAGAATTTGAAATCTGAGATTTTGTAAACCACAAAATTTCCTATTTTAACAAATATTGAGTGTCGAAGAAAATTGGCTGTTTCGATACAGATATTCTGAATTTCCCACTTTAAACAAATTTGAAGTATCAAAGAGAAGAGTTGAAAAAGAAATATTCCAAATTTCAAAATATTTCCCCCTAATATCTCAGAGATCCCAATTTCCCAGAGGTTTCCCAATATCTCCAGAAATTTAGAAGTTTAGAGTATCAAAGAAAAGCGTCAAAAAATAAATATTCTAAATTTCAAAATATTTTCTCCCTAATAAAACTCAGAGATCTCAATTTCCCAGAATTTCCAGAGGTTTCCCAGTATCTCCAGAAATTTAGAAATTTAGAGAATCAAAGAAAAGCGTCAAAAAATAAATATTCCAAATTTCAGAATATCTCCCTTGACATCTCAGAGATCTCCTTTTCCCGAAATTTCCAATTAATTCCCCACTATCTCGAGAGCTTTCCTAACACTTCAGAAAATTCCCCGTCGTTTCAAAACACCCCCGGAACATTTCGAAATTCCCCTTAGTATTCCAACAAGATCTCTCTCTCTCTCTAATTTCCTCGCGTCGATTTCAACAGGTCGACGCCAACGGAAGCCCTCTCGACGGAGTAGTCAGCTGTTGAAGGTAAACAGCGAGAAACCGAGTGTGCGGTAAGTAAGAGAGAACTCGATTCGTCGTCGTCCACAGGCTTCTAGAGTCCCATAAGTTCGCGTTCCTGGACTCTGTCACGGTCGAGGCGACGTTTAATTATCGTTATTTCATTAGCAGATAGCGCGGGGCTTCGTCGATCACGAGCTAAGAGGCGTCGTTAAGCTTATCGAAGCGAACCAACGGTCGCAGCTTCAATATTAATCGGACGAGCGGCGATAAAACCGGTCGTTAAGTTGAACATTCTCGATTAGAAGACTGGACAGACAGGTCAACCCAACCGTCAGAAGCCGCTCTCTTTTCCGCGATAGTTCTCTCACCGTGCACTTGAGAAACGACGCCACCTAATCGTAGTAACTTCGTTAGCTAATATACGCTGCGCCCATTCTATTACCAGTTTCTCGTTACATTACAGCTATTTTTTATCTTTTTTTCCTCCGTCTATACTTCGACTTCGTTGCACACACAGCACACTTACGACTGTTTACAATTTCCATAAACAGATGCTCGTAGTTTTCCTAACGAATTTGTAAAATGTAGAAGAGGAATTCGATAACGAGTCTCCCTTTCCCCTTTCCCCTCCAGCTGAAATTGCTTTTTGTTCAGGATAGACGTTGATAAGAGGCGGCTATTAAATTACCGATAACGTTATCTCTTTCTTCCTATTAGCAACGATACCGATCGTTACGTCACACACTTTGATTTCAATTCTCCGAATTAATATACCGGTTAATTGATGCGGGAGGAATTATTTCGAGTGTTAATTTCGTTAACGAGAGAGGAAATAGAAAGAGTGAGGTTTTGAATTTGAGGAACGACGACAGTGCTCTTGGTTATTTCGTAAATTCCAAACGTCTGACTAATCTTCTTATTCAGATCTCTCTTTCTGTTCTATCCCACCCAAATCTGTCCCCGACGAAAGAACACACTCGAGATTTTCCACACACGTTCACAGTGAAAATCGTTTCACCAAATATGCACGAGAAATAACGAGAAAAAAAAAAAGGCACACTAGGCGAGTGAAGGAAGAAAGATGTTCGAGGAAGAATTCGATCGTTGATCGATCGCGTAAACGTATTACCGCGGTTATGTTAGCAGCCCGGGGATTCACCTCGCCGCGAATCAGCCGGCTGACCAGCTCAGGCTACTTTCACTTGGCTAGGATACACTCTCGGTCCGGCTGATCGACGAGACGATCACGAACGGATCGAACCATCACCTGTTGGAGCAGCACTCAATTTCCGTCACACGAATTTTCCACACTCTCGGGCAAGCTTACCATGAAGAACAATATCACCGGACGCCGTTTTCTGGCTCGATTCACTTCTTTTCTTTTTTTCACTTTTATTCCACGCGAGAAATCACTCTTCTTTTTCCTTTAGTCTCTCGAGGAAATCATTGGAATTTGACGAGGTTCAATTGTGAATACGCGACGCGAAGAATCACTGTTCTTTTCCTCCAGTTTCTCGAGGAAATCACCGGAATTTGACGAGAAAAAACGCGAGGGGAGAAGCACTGTTCTGTTTGTCTTTAGTTTCTCGAAGAAATCACTGGGATTTGACGAGGATTAGGCAAGTTTATATATCGCGCGCGCGCGCGTCAGCGATCTCGCGAATACGAAACAGATCCGCAGCTGATGAGAGGCAGCAGCGAACTGAGGCCAGGCAAAGCGGTGAAAGGCGAACGAGGCGGACTGGCGGCGGCAGCGGCGACAGCACACCATCAGCAGCCAGCGGTAGCGGCGACGCGAGTGCACCAGGAGGGCAGCACAAAGCTACCACCGCCGCGCTATCGACTATGAGCTGTTTCTCCATAAATCTGATCTTTTTATACGTTCTAGATGAACGGATGTTTGTATTGAGTAGATTGGGTGGATTGCGTGTGAGTGGGGGTAGGATGTGGTACTGTGAGTACGAGTGGGATATGTTAATGCGAACGTCGAGTGAGTAGATGTGTGTTTTGTAGTACTACGAGTAGTATTGAGCAGGTTCTGTGTCGGAGTGTGAGTAGAATGGTGTATGATAGTGTGAGTGCAAGAGTTAGGTATTTTTGTGAATGTCGAGTATGTTGACTGAGAATTTTTAAATTGACAATTTTGAATAGATCGAGTGTGAGTAGCATGGTGTTGTGCGATGGTACGAGTAGTGAGCTTAGTGCGAGTACAAGAATTATATATTTTTGTGAATGTTGAAGTATATTGATTGAGAATTTGAAATAGATTGAATACATCGAGTGTGAGTAGCATGGTGTTGTATAACAGTGTGAGTAGTATACTTAACGCGAGTTCAAGAATTATGTATTGTTATGAATATTGAGTACATTGATTGAGAATTTCAAACAGATTGAATACATCGAGTGTGAGTAGCATGCTGTTGTATAACAGCGTGAGTAGTATACTTAACGCGAGTTCAAGAATTATGTATTGTTATGAATATTGAGTACATTGATTGAGAATTTTAAATAGATTGAATACATCGAGTGTGAGTAGCATGTTGTTGTATAACAGTGTGAGTAGTATACTTAACGCGAGTACAATAATTATGTATTGTTATGAATACTGAGTACATTGATTGAGAATTTTAAACAGATTGAATACATCGACATTGATTGAGAATTTTAAACAGATTGAATACATCGAGTGTGAGTAGCATGGTGTTGTATAACAGTGTGAGTAGTATACTTAACGCGAGTACAATAATTATGTATTGTTATGAATATTGAGTACACTGATTGAGAATTTTAAACAGATTGAATACATCGAGTGTGAGTAGCATGGTGTTGTATAACAGCGTGAGTAGTAAACTTAACGCGAGTATAATAATTATGTATTGTTATGAATATTGAGTACACTGATTGAGAATTTTAAACAGATTGAATACATCGAGTGTGAGTAGCATGGTGTTGTATAACAGCGTGAGTAGTATACTTAACACGAGTTCAAGAATTATGTATTGTTATGAATATTGAGTACACTGATTGAGAATTTTAAATAGATTGAATACATCGAGAGTGAGTAGCATGTTGTTGTATAACAGCGTGAGTAGTATACTTAACGCGAGTTCAAGAATTATGTATTGTTATGAATATTGAGTACACTGATTGAGAATTTTAAATAGACTGAATACATCGAGTGTGAGTAGATTGTTGTTGTGCGACAGTATGAGTAGTGAGTTTAGTGCGAGTACAGGAATTATACATTCTCACGAATG